TTTCTTTGAGAAATACCCTCATGGATGCATGAAGCTCTCTGGGTTAGGACGTTGAGACAAGAGGGTGCCTATTCCTGTCTCAGATGCATCGGCTTCAAGAATGAATGGTAAGGCAGGGTTACGGTGTGCCAGTATTGGAGCTGCAGCAAAGGCGACTTTGAGAGACTCAAAGGCACTAATGGCTTCCTGTGACCAATGTTGTGGATCAGCATCTCTCCTGATCATATCCGTGAGAGGTTTAACCAAGGAAGAAAAATTGCGTATAAACTTCCGATAATAATTGGCGAAGCCAAGAAAACGCTGTATAGAGCGAAGACCCGTAGGTCGAGGCCATTGTAGTACAGCAGAAAGTTTCTCTGGGGCCATAGAGAATCCAGCATCTGAAATAACATAGCCCAAGAATGTGACCTGTTTGCAGTTGAACTCACATTTCTCCAATTTACAGAACAGATTATTTTCTCTGAGTCTCTGTAGAACATGAGAAACGTCTGCGTGATGGTTCTCAAGAGATGTGGAATGGATAAGAATATCATCAAGAAAAACCACCACACATTGCTGCAGCATATCTCGCAGGACATAATTTATAAATTCCTGGAAAACCACAGGAGCATTGCAAAGACCAAAGGGCATTACTAGGTATTCATAATGCCCGCTCCTGGTGTTAAATGCGATTTTCCATTCATGGCCCTCTTTTATCCTGATGAGATTATATGCCCCTCTCAGATCAAGTTTAGTGAAGACCGTTGCTCCCTTGAGGCGGTCGAATAACTCCTTGATCAAAGGAATGAGGTAAGCATTCTTAATAGTAATGCGATTGAGACCCCTATAGTCGATACAGGGTCTGAACTCGCCACTCTTCTTTTTCACAAAGAAAAGGCCGGCCCCGGCAGGAGAAGATGACTTCCGAATGAATCCCCTTGACAATGCATCGGTAACATACTCCTCCATGGCTCGATTCTCTGCTACAGACAGCGGGTAAATCCGGCCACGAGGAGGAATGGCATCAGGTTGGAGTTCGATACCACAGTCATAAGGACGGTGTGGCAGCAGAACGCTTGCCTGACCCTTGTCAAATACATCTTGGAATTCTTGGTACTCAGCGGGTAAGGAAGAGGCAGAAAATGTGCTCAAAACTTTGACCGGTTTCCAGAGTCAAGATGATGTGCATTGCTGGGACCAATATAATATCTCAGATTTGTGCCAATCAACTGTGGGGTTATGCTTCTGTAGCCAAGGGTATCCCAAAACAACCAGGTAATATGGAGAGGAAATTACCTGGAATTGGATCATGTCACGATGTAGAGTCACTACAGCCAAAGCTATGGGCACAGTCTCCTGGGTCACGTGGGTTGGCTGTATTGGTCTGCCATCGATGGCTTCGAAAGCTAGTGGAGAGTTGCGAGGCTGTAAGGGTATAGAGTGCTCTGATGCAAATGCACAGTCTAAACAAGCTTGCGGCCCCAGAATCAAGCAATGCCCGGGTTTTAATGGATGAATCAGGCCAGGAGAGGATAATAGGCACCAAGGGTTTGTCCTAATATATCTCTGGGTCGGCAGAAAGACCACCCATATACAGGAGGCCGCTTCCTGAATGAGGATGTCTCTCTGAGTCTGATATCAATGAGGATGACAAAGGATATTAGTTCCTCGAGATCTTTAGGCAATTCTCTGGCTGCAATCTCATCCTTAATAACATCGGAGAGCCCATGGGAAAAGGCAGCCACGAGAGTCTCATTGTTCCAGCCACCCTCTGCTGCCATGGTTCGGAATTCACTGGTATACTCGACAATTGTTCTCGTGCCCTGTGCATTAGACATGAGTTGTTTGGCAGCAGAGGTGGAGCGAGCTGGAATATCAAAACTTCTTTTAAAGGACGCAACGAATTCAGGGTAATTGTACATAATGGGCCTCTCTGCCTCCCAGAGAGGTTTTGCCCAAGCTAGGGCTTTTTCAGACAGCAAAGAAATCATGAACCAGACTTTGCTTCTGTCTGTAGGAAATGCCTGGGGAAGCATTTCAAGGTATCCTCTAACCTGATTTACAAATTCTTTGCACTGAGCTGGGTTGCCCCCAAAATACCGAGGGATAGGGACAGACCCATGCAATCACAGTGAAACTTGAAACCAATTACATACACAGCATACAGATTGACTACCAATAAGGACATGGATAATTTTGACGAGGAGAGAAGAGTAAAACATTTGTGAATAATTTCTATACAATAAATAAATTGTGTTCTACAAACATACAGAGGGATTTCCAATACATTCAAGATCATTAGCTACAAGATGCTAAGACTGTAAAAACAACAATACAAAAGTCAAAGAAAGCAACTGAGCTCCTGGTTGACAAATTTGTATTAGCCCAATTGTTGCCTTCATGACCTATTGTATACAATAGGCTGTGATCAATCAAAGTCTCAAAAGGGGTCTCTCATGTGCAAATGTCTAAGGCCAATTTCCTTTAGAGGGAAGCTTCAGCGTGGCATCAGGAACCACAGCATTTGACAAGTGCAATGGATCCTTAGAGTAATTTGGGAACTTGCAGTCATAGTAACCCATGATAGCAGGGTGACCATATGTCTACAGTGCAGTGCAGGGAAAGATTACCTTCAGCATTCCAGATGTGGAACTACATCTACCATAATGCTCTTACAGCCACAAAGCTGACAAAGCACCAGGGTAGATGTAGTCCACAACATCTACAGAGCTGCAGGTTGCCAACCCCTGGTGTATTGGATGAAAAGCTATTGGTAAGTTGGAAGGAACCAAGTTATTAGGTAATGCAGTATACAAACTCACAAGAAAATGGTCACCAGCAAATATGGCAAGTGCTCCAGAGGCAAATATAGTTGCAAGGGGCATGAAGTGAAAGGGTAGAGGTGGTGCTATAAAAGGATGTATTTTTATTTCCTGCCTAGTTTATTATGGTATCATGAAATAACCATTACAGTAGGATGTGAAATGACTAAGACCATTCATCCATATTGGTATCAATTAAAGTGCTGTCATTTGCTCATTATAGTACGAAAGCCACATTATTACTTGTGAACCGTAAACTATTTTTTAGAATGTGATATAGTTTCGATTTTCATTTATAGGCTATAAAACTGTTCTCTAAAGTTAGAATGAAAGTGCTAACCCAGCCTGCAGAATATAAAATCTTTTCATATATTTTTATGTCATGAAACATGAGTCCTAAAGGTTTAATGTTACCTTGGTTTTTATATAAAGGTTTTTTAATTTCTGATTCCAGTTATGGTTGGTCAAATGAACTGTGACATCAAAGATGTTCAGGATGCACAGAGTGCATAAGTTTTATAACCTTGATTCCTGTGAAAAAAAAATAGGAGAAGTAAAAGATGTACTGAAATATTGAAGTAGAGTGCTAAACCATTTACCCCTTATGTACCAAGGGACAAAGGTTTTGTAAGCTGGTTTACTGTCACGGCTGCTAGTGTGGTCCAACACGCAGAAACTATGTAAACATATACATAAAAAAGGAAAGGAAATAAAAGGACAGAGAGTAAACCGGACCTTAGAATGGCCGGACTAATACGCTAGTGATAGAGAATGGTCAAAGGGAAAGCCGAAGTCAAGGAAGCCAGAAATACTCAGATAACGTTTAAACAAGCCAAGTCAGGGGAACCAGAATTCGGAATAACCAGGGAAAAGCCAAGATCAGGATACCAGGAAGTCAGATTCACAAAGATAAATGCACTCTCGGTGTGATGCTTTTGTGTAATACCTCTTTAATTTGGAACTCAACTGCAGAATTTTCTGAGGGCAGGAACAGTAAGTTTCACCTCCTATTATATTGGAGTGAAATCAGTGGACTGTATCTTAAAATAATAATCAGGATAATGCCAAGTTAGTTCCAACTTGAATTTTAATAATGAAGTTTTAGCCTTAGCCAGGGCCGGATTAACATAGGGGCTGATGGAGCTGCAGCTCCAGGCCCAGGCCCATGGAATAGGCCCATTGATTTTAAAAAAAAAATTTTTTTTTTTACATTTTTTTTTTTTCCACACACTACTCTTAGGGATTCCACCTGGCTTTTATTTTATTGGCACAGCCAATATTTGAGGCTGCCTGGCTGGTGCCAATATTGCAGTGATACTGGCAATATAAATGCTGGTATTTTTCTCAGTATAAACAAGAAATTACTATGCAATACCAGCACGGGCCAGTAGGGGTTGCTATATGTGGAGACAGGCAGGGATAGGAAGTTCCAGCATATCCCTCCCTGCCTATCTATACTCACTGATCTGCAGGGGTGCAGCTACAGAGAGTCCAGACAGCAACTCCCACCATGCAGAGACAGCCTACAGCTCAGGGAAGTAAGGGATGGGGGAGACATGGGGACACTGAGACACTAAGGGACATTGGGAGACATTATGGCAGACACTGAGACACTAAGGGACATTGAGAGACATTATGGCACAGACACATGGGGACACAGTGTCCCCATGTCTCCCAGCCAGTGTCCCTGGTGTCTCAGTGCCCCCTAGTCTCCCAGTGCCCCCTAGTCTCCCAGTGCCCCCAGTCTGCCAGTGTCTCACTGTCCCCATGTCTCCTAGTGCCTCCATGTCTCTCAGTGCCTCAAGTGTCACAATGTCCCCAAGCTAGTGTCCCTAGTGTCTGTGGCCCTGGTGTCTCAGTGTCCCCATGTCTTCCAGTGCCCCCATGTCTCAATGTCCCCATGTCCCCCAGCCAGTGTCTCTAGTATCTTTGTCCCTGGTGTCTGTGTCCCCATGTCTTCAAGTGTCCCCTATTTTCCCATTGTCCCCATGTGTCCCAGCCAGAGTCCCCTAGTCTCCCAGTGTCACTGGTGTCTCCGTGTCCCTAGGTCTCCCCGTGTCCCCAGGTCTCCCCGTCTTCCTAGTGTCCTAGTGACATGGGGACCCTGGGATACATGGGGACACAGGGAGACATGGGGCATTGAGATACTGATACATAGGATCACTGGGAGACCTGGGGACACGACACTAGGGGACACTGGGAGACATGGGGCACTGAGACACTGATACATAGGAACACCGAGACCTGGAGTAATCGACACATGGGGGCACTGAGTCATGAGGGCACTGGGAGACATGGGGGCACTGGGAGGAATCCATCTATACAGCAGATTTAAACTATGTAGTTTTTTGGTGATTTTACAGCGTTTTCTCTTATGTCACTCCTTGTGATGTGATGTCACCCACACATATTTAATTATGCAAATTAGTAAGGCCGGTATGTTTTTCCAAGAAAGGTGGCAACCCTAACTACTTTTCACATACTCTTACTTAAGTATGGAAACTTAAGAGGGATGTATGGGAACAAAACTTGTGTGGACTGGCTGACAATGAATATAGTTAAAGGGACACTAGAGTCACCAGAACAACTACAGCTTATTGAATTTGTTCTGGTGAGTAGAATCATTACCATCAGGCTTTTTGCTGTAAGCACCGTCTTTTCAGAGTAAATGCTGTGTTTACATTACATCCTAGTGATAACTTCACTGGCCACTCCTTAGATGACTGGTAGAGATCCTTCCTGGGTCATGGCTGCCTAAAATGCATCCAAACATTCAGTGTCTCCTCCCTCTGCATGTAGACACTGAACTTTCCTCATAGAGATTCATTAATTAAATTCATCTATATAAGGAGATGCTGATTGGCCAGGGCTGTGTTTAAATCATGCTGGCTCTGACCCTGATCTGCCTCTTTGTCAGTCTCAGCCAATCCTATGGGGAAGCACTGTGATTGGATCAGGCCACCACTTCTAATAATGTCAGCAGACTGCTTGTTTTTATGAGTCTAACAGCATGTAGAGTTACAGCTTCAGGCTTGAATATAGTAGGATTTTGCTATATTTATGGATGCATGAGGGGCCCAGGGGGGCTAGATGGTGGTGTTAACACTATAGGGTCATGAATTCATGTTTGTGTTCCTGACCCTATAGTGATCCTTTAAGGTAATGCTGACTTTGGTCTCTCTAACACTGTGGCATGTTCCCTTTCTTCTACACTCACTACATACAGCTTTTCTCTGTCCCAGACCATATACCAGGAGCTTCTGCCTGCTAGTAAGAAGGTAAGGAGACAAGTGGACCAGCGAGTGCTAGGGGACAGTCCTTAGAAAGCGTTGAGTGAGCGCATCATTAGATGCATTTATGCCAAGCTCAGGGTGCTGTCTGCATAGTATGCCCTTAGTTGGCCAGCTGCATGATTGGCAGGCAGCCTGACATGCATTCATGCCAGGCTGGCCTTCTAATTCTTTGAGCAGACATGTCCTCTTTTTGGGCATGTTCGCCCCTTTTGGCAGGTTACGTGATTTGTGTCAGTGGCACATGCTTTTACCATGCCCATGCTTGACTGGACACTGCTGTTAGGGGTTATGGATTTACTTGAAAGATGAAAACATAAATTAGAGAGAGATTAGCCTAGGGTATGTGTTTTCTTATAGCTGCTGTTTTCTTTCTCTCCAGCCCCATCTCCATCAGATACATGACGCTTGGGAGTGTTTTACTGTTTTTGGTCGATATGATTCTGTAATTAGGCCCGTTATAATTGTCAGCACCAGGCCCACTGGGCTCTTAATCTGGCCCTGGCCTTAGCAGCAATCCTTATTTGTCAACAGAGAGTTTAAAGAAATTAAATACTATAATTAATTGATATGACTTGCTTTCCTTGACAGAAGATTTACTTAACTTAGAAGAACTCTGGCACTGGAAGGGTTAATTCACCCAATGGAGGAAGAGGAAGGAGTCTCTTTTAACAAACTGCAGTTTAGTAGTGAGAGAAAGGAAGTCCGTTTGTCCAAGCCGAGGTCTGAGAGAGGAGAAGGTAGAAATCCGTTTACAAGCCGAGGTCTGGGAGAGGAGAAGGTAGAATTCCGTTTATAAGCCGAGGTCTGAGAGATGAGAAGGTAGAAATCCGTTTACAAGCCGAGGTCTGAGAAGTGGAGCCAAGGGATCTGATAACTGCTACGAATCTGCAGACTGCCACTGGGCGAAAGGAGAGCAGTCAGTATCATACCGGGGCCTGAATGGCACACAAAAGTAGATCGAGACCCATGGTGAAGCCGGCATCGCACGCTGGAACTTGGGACCACTAAGGGAACACCTGCTAATCTCACAGAACTTACCTGATTGCCACAAACTACCACTTGAGTGAGCTATCAGGTCTCCATCTGGGACTCCTGTGGTGGGTCTACATTCAGTCACTGCAAGGCATAGGCTGATCTCATACCTAAACCAGGGTCACATTACAGGGAGACTGCTGTGTTCCAAGCCTCCTTCTTAAATTATTTTCATAACATTGCATCTGGTTTTACATGCATCGCATCACATCCAGTATACTCGATCTACATCTCAAAGTCGTCTCTGCCTTTCATGTGCATTCAAGCATGTCTCTGCATTCCACTTATAGCGGAAGGGAGGTTTTTCATTATACTTTAGTGTTAGTAATATAAATCATCTTTTACATTAATTTCTTAGAGTCCATATATATAAAGCAGATGTAAAATAATGTGAGTAAGGTATATTATTATATACATACCTATATCATAATTCTAAGGGCATAGATAGTAAATTAAGCTAAAATAAAATGTAAATTTATCAAATAATCCCAATAATAAAACAGAACTTATTACAGATAAAAATGATAATGTATAGATTAATAAACAAGGTTAATACATTTTAAACCTTTTGGATCCTTATTGTGATCATATTTATATTGTGAGGATACACTATGGTTTTCAAAACCTATCATATCATATCATATCCCAGATGAGGATATGTAGGGCCCTTATTGTTCTTCCTATGTAATGCTACTCACATGAACATTGCATTAAATAAATCATGTTTATTTATAATAGCATGTAAAAAATTCCTTAATAGTAATGGAGTCAAATTCGAATTATATTCCTAACTTTATTATGAGTGCTATAACTACAAATAAAAGGAACTGCTTCCATCTTATGTTCGTCTTTAGGTTTATATTTGAGTAATTATTTTCTATGGTTTCTTCTTGATGTCGGTTCTAGATGATCATACTGTCACCATAGCCTCTCAAAATTCGCCTGGTTTATTTTTAAAATGTGTTCCTAAAAAGTTTCCCTATATGTCCAAGTCCTCCTGATTCTTAAGAAATAACCCTTAGGTGCAAGGGTTATTTCTCTCTTTCTATAAAACTATTGCATCCGCTGGTTTAAAATAGTTTTTAGTTTTCATCTATAAAAATAGTAAGATCTAAAAAACACTACTTATTTTTGGTTCCAAACACTATTTAGTTCAATCCCCCATGTATTATAATCTAGAAAGGAAAGGAAACAATTAAGATCTTCTTCCTCATCTCTCCATATAAAAAAATATAATCTGCGTAACGGCCATAGGTAACAAGGTTTTGCACTCAGGTAGGTTGACCATACATGATGGATGATTCCTAATGGGTGATAAATAAATTGGCATAGTTGTATGCAAACTTAGTCCCCATGGCAATTCCTATAATTTGTATAAAATAATTGCTGTTAAACAAAAAAAGTAATTATTTAATATAATTTCTATATCTTCCATTAAAAAAGTATATCTGGGGAGTTAAAAATTCAGATTAATCTTATAAAAATCTATTGATGGCTTCACAACCTCTCATGTGAGGTATATTGCTATATAGTGCTTTCATGTCACAAATTACTAAATTATAATCTTCATGCATTTACAGTCATCTAAAATTTGTAAACTAGCAGTAGTATCTCTAATATAAGAAGTAGTTTTCTGAACTTGAGGTTGTAGATGGATATCAAGATATTCTGATACTCTACTAGATATTGCATCTGTCCCTGCTATAATCGGTCTCCCTGGTGGATTATTGATATATTTGTGTATTTTGGGAGAAAATAAAATACTGGAATTTGGGGATTTATTTTTACATTCAGATTATCATGTACTTTTTTTACATTCAGATAATTTTTTTTTAATTTCTTTTAATAAGGCTTTATTTTAAAATTCTAAAAAAGATTTTTGCATTTCTTACTATCATTTAAAATTCTATCCACTTCTTTATCATAGTTTTCTTTGGACATTAAAACTATTCCTCCTCCTTTAGCCACTGGTAGACATGTGCAATTCATTTCGTTCCGACTGTAAATTTGGACGAATTTCAGCAATTCGGACATTCAGAATGTCCAAATTGCCTAAATTCTGAAGTGCCAAAGTGCCAAATTTCGGAGGTATCGAGCCGAATTGCCGGAGTGCCGATTTGCCAAATTTCTGAAGTGCCGAACCGAACCGAATTGCCGAAGTGCCGAATTTCGGAAGTGCCGAATTGGCAAAACAAGAGAGGGAGAAAAAAATTACATGAATGATGACAGGAATCTAACCCTACCCTACCATTAACCCTACCCCTAACTCTACCACTAACCCTAACCCTAGATGTTTAAGTGGTTGTAGGTTAGGGTTAGGGGTAGGGTAAGGGTTATGGTTAGAGGAGTTGGGTAGGGTTAGCAGTAGGGGTAGGGTTAGGGAATTGTTGAAGTCCCGAATTGCCGAAGGGCCGAAGTCCCAAATTGATGATGTCCTGAATTTCGGAAGTGCCGAACCAAAACGAAGTGCCGAATTGCCGAAGTCTCGAATTTCGGAAGTGCCGAACCAAACCAAAGTCCCAAATTGCCAAAGTCCCGAATTTCAGAAGTGCCGAACCAAACTGAATTTTTTGGTCCCTATCAACTGGTTTTATAATTAAATTGACATCTTATTTTCTTCTTTTAGAGCACATCTCTCTTTTAAGGTTCTTTTAAATTTATATAGATCTACATACATTTGAAAATGGGTTAAATGTTTACTTGGTGCAAAGTTAAAGGCCTTCAAAAATTTTCCACTTAAATTAAATATCCATTTAGAGTGATATTGAGTGAATGTCTTTCCTTTTTTCTTTTTCTTTGTTGTATATATTGTCCTTTTCTCGTACTTCCCTTACTGAAGATCTTGGACTTAAATCTTGATTTTGTTTGTTCTCTATCTCATTTCAAATGTATCACAATTCTTTTTGATTCCATGAGTAGCATCATCAAATTCCTCTTGATTTAAATTGTTCAACATTTCTTCCTGACATTTGGTAAATTCAATGTCTAATTCTCTAAGGTTTTCGATGCTGAGGGTCATGGTAGTGAAAGAGAATCCTTTTTACATCATTTGCCATTCCTCCATAAAATCTGTTGTTTCCTCATCAAAAGTAGGCCTTTAACATAGCATAAACCTTTCAGCATTATTTTTTTCTTTTAAATATTTTTCTAAAGTGGCTATTTCCCATTTATCTTTAATTCTTTATTTAAACATTTTTCTAAATTTTTACACATTTGTTTGTACTTTCTGTAATTGTCTATTCTGTTTTTCCATCCAGTTGGCAAATTCTGTCTCTACATCCATGTAGGTATTTTTCCTTTTGTCAACTTTTCTTTTATAACTAAGGAGAATTAAAATAAGTGCAGAATATTAAGTATATAGTTTTCTACAAGTTATTATGTAAAAATAAATTGTATATAGATCTTCTACACTGTTTATTAACTTTGTTTATTAATCTTATCTATTTTTATTTTTATTTGGAATAAGTTTTATTATTGGGATAAAATTTTATACATTCACATTTTACTTTAACTTAAGTTACTTTTTTAGCCCTTATAAATATGGGAAAAATATACTTTCCTTACATTTGTTTTCCGCCTGCTTTATATATATGAACTTTAAGAAACTGATAAGAACGATTTATATTAATAACACTAAAGTGAAAAAAAAAACAAAAAAACACTACTTCTGCTATAACTGCAACGCAAAGACAGATGTTGGAATGCATGCAGAAGGCGGAGGGAACTTTGTGATGAAGGTCGAGTATACTGGAAGTGACGCAACTCATATAAGACCAGATCTGACGTTGCCAAAGGAAGTAAACCGAGAAAGAGGCGTGGAACGTAGCATTCTTCTGGTAATCATGGGAGAAATGCTTGCAAACACAGGCGAAAGTGTTTTTCCAATGATGAAAGGTGCACAAATATAGGAAAGATGTCAAACTACTTTATTTTGCCAGGCTGAAGAAGCCACATCAGCGAAATAAATAAACATATACAGGATTGTAAAGAAATAAGAGTATAAGATAAGTGCTTTTTGCTAGAGGTGATATCACTATCACATTTTGGTATTTTGATTAATTGCACTAATATAGCTCTCCACTGTGTATATTTTTTGTAGTAGATAGTGTGACAAAAGTACTCCTTTCCCTTGGTACCTTGTCCTGGGATTGGGGTGTTACACACAGTCTTTTCAGGCTTTAGAGACACTTCACACGCTGGATGAGGTAAAAGGACTTGCTCTTTTCATTGTGGTTCCAAAATAAATGCACAGTAAGGTATAAAAGGTTGTAACAAAATATATAAAACAAAATCCTTGCTCTTCTGAGCACTAACTAAACAAAATATTTAGCTAACTGGCTTGTATGGCTTGTCCATTTCCCAACATAAACATAAACAACAACCTTACTGTTTCAGGGTTTTCAGCTCTCTGTTTCCACTCACAGAACTCAAACACAATCTCCCTCCTCCTTTG